ATGCTAACGTAAACACTGGCTTAATGTCAACAGATTTTTGGAGGGCGTTACCAACAGAGCTCATTAACATAAACAGCTCTTCTGAACGGAAGTCAGAGCAGGCAGAACTAGAAAATGGGAAATTTTATTATCTGAGAATTATTTTGTGCATTAAATTGAATGAACATGGTCTGGATAGCCCACAGACATACCATAAAAATTCCTAGGACCCATTATTGKTCTCCTTTAAGGGCCCAGCATGCTCCATCTGAAGCCAAACAGTCGACACGTTGAAACTCCTCCCACTGCTGAACACATCAAAGTATGGGTTTCTTCTTGTTGGAGATAATACTCAGATACCCGCCGTTTGGCCACACATCTGTCAAGGATACAGTGCCACATTTTTTCAGCAGACAAATTAACCCGTGCACGATGTCTGTGCAAGAGTTTTTGGTCGTTGGACTACTTTTATAAGTGTCTGGAAGAGTCATATAGATGGATGTATTGACAACTACTCCTCCAAACTATCCATGTTGTTTCTGGAAGCAGAGTAGTTGAAGCAAAATGCTGCCATTGCTGTCTGAGTTCTTTTCAGCCTAAACACAAACTTCTATCCAGTCACACAATATTTTCATACGGTGAGGAGGGTGAGAAGTTCGGCCCGGGGCCTTGTGCCAAGAAGGGGCGGATGACTCAAAGCTGAGATCAAAATGCCGTGATTTTCGTCACATAACTGTGATAGTTTCAGATGGACCATGCAGAGGCCTTTAATCCTCATGTGGATACTCAGCATTTAATAAGGATTCCTCGTGTTTATATTTTGAAAACACTCAAACTTCAAAGCACAAGCCAGCTTCGAACCACCTCTATGAATACTTCTGGCAAACATATTTGGTTTGAGCATACTGATACCTCGTCAGCACTTTGACCACCAAAAGTTCAGAGTGAATTTCCCCTCCTAAATCTCCACGCATCATCCGACAATGAAATACTGAGATGAGTTTTAGGCAAAAATCACAATCAAAGCAAGATTTAGTTATTTCGATTACACCTGAACCAGAAGCCCTGAAACGTTTCCCTTACACCCGAGGCATCGCTACACATGATTAGGAAGTTAGCTTAGGTTCACTTGATCGTTAATCAATGAAAACAGCAGCACTTTTTTTTTTTTTGTGGTGTAAAAGGAGACATTTAGGGAATTCTTCTGGACAGATCGTAACACCTTGGGGAGTAAAACCTCCTCTTCTTTTATTACTTCCACTTTTACTGTCGCCTACAGGTGCAAATCTTCTTGCAGTAAGGGCTGCGACATCTCCCAGCTTCTGTGTTTTAGTGTAGGCYTCTGTTTGAGGGTGACTAATAGAACATAGACCACTAGAAAGCCCAGCACCATTACCACACCGATGAACGAGCCCACCACCGGCGCGTAGGAGTACCTGTTGAGCTTTGGAGGAGAGGGTGGGTGAGCGGCAGTGGGTGTGGAYGCAGCTGGTTGAGAGGACAGGAGGTCCTGGATGTTGAGGAGGGAGCCGTTGTTTGGTAGAGGCCGTGTGGATAAGATGTGGCACATGAGAGGGTAGAGGTCAACGGAGCGCATTGAGGTCTTAACATAGTTCTGTCGAAAAGCCGGTCCGCGGGCCACAAACACAGGCTGCATGCTACGCAGGGTGTTGTCGTAGCCGTGGTTTCCCACTAAGGTAGAAAAGATAAAAAATACACTCGTTATTAATGTGTCACCTCTCAAGCTCGATCAGGCAAATATAAACGGAAAATCTGGAAATTTGAGCGCTCATATAACAAAAAAAAAACTCTGAGAATAGTTAATGTCCTGGTCTAAAAACCATGTTGTTGATAAATAATTCACATTTAAAAACTTGTCCAACTRTGCCTGTTTTCATTTCAAAAGTGAATAAATCATAAATGTGGGGGCGGGAGCTAAGGTAGGTACAAAGTGGGTTGAGCAGGGTGAGATGTGGGAAAATAACTAGCACAAACAGCCCACAGATTTGCGAGTTGTGCACACAGGAATAGACTATGATTTTCAAAAATTGGCTGCAAAACATGGAGGCACGACTCACTGCTCAATCCAAAATAGAAATAAAGTAGACAGAAATGAAGTTTCCTATTTCCTCACAATGTTGAGTCTCCAACTAATCTCCCATAGCAGCAGTCCAGTAAGACAAGACTTTAAAAGGGATCCATGATTAGTTGTAACATTAAACTTTATTTAATAAACATATATTTTAACTGTAAAATAAAGACTAAAAATACTGTAGGCTGTTTAGTTTTTATCATTTTTAAACTAAAAGTTTTAAAAAATATTACACGGATGGGGTCATTTTATTTATAGGCAAGGC